TGTCTTATTAACATTTAATTTTTATATTTTTTATAGGCATTAATTATAGGTAACACGCCGCACGATGCGCTCAAGAATGTTGCAAGAATGAGGCGTTAAATTCTCCAAAGCCTACTATGAGTCTTGTTAGTTGTTTAAGGAAAAGAAAGTGCGCGCTAGTATCAGCCACTCAAAACGGAAAAAAGAACTATAATAACCTTAACAGACATAGGCAAATTCTTCCCGTCTTTGTCGACAGCACCTGGTCCAGCAGCAATAACCGTCGCTTCGAGAACTTTCCCGTGTGATTTCTCGGGTAACATTATCCCACCCTTTGTTTTAATTTCAGGAGCAAATCTTTCAACTAATACTCGATCAAATAAAGGTTTAAATGAACGCAACGCATCCGAACCCTGTAAATTCATTTCTTCAATCCATTTTTCACTTTTCACGAGAAAAGTTTTTAATTTCCGACTTAGAAAATGTTATTAACAATCCGAATAAAGTAAAGCAAAAAGTATTTAAGTACAATATTTAAAAAATTATATTTCATAAATTATGGAGAAAACTTCCTAAAATAATTTATTTTTGGAAAGAAGAATGTAAAAACTAATTTTTCTTGCAGTAATAAACATAAAAAAACAAACAGTTCGACGAATCGCGGATAAAAACACCATTTCTGAATCGATATACGCGGTTCCAACTTGACTTCAAGTATTAACAAAGCTTTATAAAAATTTGTCGCAGGTGTAAATTGCTGTTGAAATACCGCCCATTCCCCATTCAACCAATCAGATTTGGGCTTCAATCAATTAAGCTATTGCCAAGCAATGTCGCGAAATTTCTAGAAGAACCCCGCCTACACATTGTTTAAGTTTTTAGGTTTTTTGGTTGCCCATTTCATAATATCATTATTAAGATAGTTGGTGGGATGAGACTTCGTTTTCGTTACAACTTGATTTACTTCATTTGGGGCTTTTTTATCGCCAAAGACCTATTTTTGGGACAAAATTTTGGAAAATGCAGGAAGAAATGGGAAGAAATTCCTTTGACGGGAAAAGAAATTTTTAAATTAGAAAATAATTTGAAGTTTTCGAATATTCTAAGAAAAAAGTAAAAAAGTTCATTTTTTAAATCAATTAAAGAGATTTGAAAAATTCTTAACTCTTAAAAAATTCCTAAATTTGCATCTTCAAAATTTTTATTTTTGAGAAATTTAAGTGAAATATTTAATTTAAATTATTGTTTTATATAATAAATATTTTCTTTATTAAATAAAACATGGCTGATAGGATTGCAGTTGAAATGCTTCGTTTATGTTCTTCGCGCTGCCTTCGATCCTCGCTTCGCTTCTACGCAAAAGATTTGAAATTTGGCTCGGATGGTCGTGCAGCAATGTTGCAGGGCGTCGATACGCTCGCTGATGCCGTCGCCGTTACTATGGGACCGAAGGTTTTTCTCTTAGTTCTTTTAAAAATTCATTTTTTTTTGAATTTTAGATCAGTTAGCCTGAATGTGACAATTTTCTCTAATTCACTTTGAAATAAAATATATTTTGCTCCTTAATACGGAAAATAAGGAATTATCCAGTACTACAAATAATAGTGGCATTTATGGCTCGCAACGATTTTTTCTGCAACTGTAACCGTAGAAGAAAAAAGTGAACAATGGAAAATACAGAATGACCCCGTACTACATAAAAACGCAATTTAACCGCGAGCTCGACTAACCATAAAAATAATGAATAAAAGTAATGAATCCTGCTATAATAAAGATGCCAACGCTTTTTCTATATTGAACGTCACAAGTAGTGCTTTTCTAAAGCGTGGTTTTAGGGGCGAAATGTTGTTATCGAGCAATCCTGGGGAAGTCCGAAAATAACAAAAGATGGAGTAACTGTTGCTAAAGCGATTGATTTTAAAGATAAATATAAAAATCTTGGTGCTAAACTCGTTCAGGTTTCTTAAAATTTTTAAGATTGGTTTTTATGATCGATTGCAAAAGTCGTTTCGTCGCTGCCTTAGAATATTTTTTATTCATTTTTTCGGTTTTTATGGTAAAATATTTAAGAATTCAATAATTGTTGTACTATTAATATTATAGGATGTTGCAAACAAAACTAATGAAGAAGCAGGTGATGGTACAACTTGTGCAACTGTCCTTGCGCGTTCTATCGCAAAGGAAGGTTTTGAAAATATTAGTAAAGGTGCCAATCCTGTCGAAGTTCGTCGAGGTTTTTTTTTTCAATTTTTTTCAATATTTATATTTCACGTTTTTTTTCCAATTTTGAATATATTTTGGTTTTCTTTTTTTTAAATTTAATATGGTATAGCGGATTTACTTAATTTTGATACTATTATCAAAATCATAGGAGTAATGAAGGCTGTCGATATTATTGTCAAAGAATTAAAAGCGATGAGCAAGCCAGTCACAACACCTGAAGAAATTGCCCAAGTTGCAACTATTTCTGCAAATGGTGACGAGAATATCGGGAATTTGATCTCGGAAGCGATGAAAAAAGTAAAAATTATTTTTTTAATAGGACTGATTGGCTCTTTTGAAAGTTTTAGTAAGTTTAACCTGTTTTATCTTGTGATACCAGTGTCGATGTTTAACAGCCGGATTTTATTGGTAGGTTTTCCCCTTGTTAGAGAAAAGGTAATTGCAAAAGTTTAATTGAATATTACGCATATAGGGCATGAAAAAAGTAGTACTTTGTGGGGAAATATTTGATCGTCTGTTTTTTAAATGGAACTGTATCAATATATTCATTTTTTACATAGAATATTACGTTTTCAAGAAATGAATAAATAAATAAAAAGGTTTAACACCTTAAGTGATACTGAGTTTGTGAGTTCGTTATTTTAAATTTTAGTTGATATTTTTATAAATGAATTCATAAAACACTGAAAGGTGAAGTGGAGATTTCATATTCTTACTACACATTTTTTTACATATTCATTTTTTCATTTTTAAAATTTACTTGTTCTTATTCTCGAAAAAATCGCTAGCCTACGTTATATTCAATTCAAGCAGACTTAGAAATAAATAAATAAATAATAGAAGTGAAAGATTATTGCTTACATAGAAAGATTTGCTAAATCCTCTAATTATCAACTCTATGAGAAACGCGAGCAGTTTCCAACCATTCGTTTTTCATTTTTGCCTTTAAAATTGAAAAAATTTTAGGTTGGGAATAAAGGAGTGATCACCGTTAAAGATGGGAAAACGTTAATTGACGAACTGGAGACAATTGAGGGTATGAAATTTGATCGAGGATATATTTCACCATATTTTATCAACACAACAAAAGGAGCTAAAGTGGAATTTGAAAAATCGTATCTTTTATTATCGGAAAAGAAAATAAGTCAAGTGCAAGTATGTTGTGTTGATGTGATGTTCGTATCTCTCTTTTCCACAATTTTTTGTAGCATTTCATTATAATTATGATTATAATTCATAATTCATTGTAATTTGAGACAAATATTCTATAATAATAAATATTTAGGATATAGTGCCGGCCTTAGAATTGGCAAATAAATATCGGAAACCTTTAGTGATTATAGCAGAAGATGTTGATGGCGAGGCTTTGACAACGCTTGTTTTAAATCGATTGAAGGTTCTCCCTTTTTTATTTTCCTATTTCTTTTATTAAAATCTGATTTGAAATATCTGAAAAAACTGCAATCATTTGGAATATAAAATTCCAAATTTCATATAAATTTAAGGTGGGTCTCCAAGTGGCGGCTGTTAAAGCTCCTGGCTTTGGTGACAACAGAAAAAATACTCTGAAGGATATGGCAATCGCCACTGGAGCTACGGTCTTTGGTGATGAAGCTAATCTTGTGAAGTTGGAAGATATTCAGGTTCAAGATTTCGGTGAAGCAGAGGAAATTTCCATCACAAAAGATGATACTTTAATTCTCCGTGGCAAGGTTTCAATTCTCTGTTTTATGAGATTCAAATTCTCAATAAATCCTTTATTTTTTGACCAGTATGAAACTTTTAAGGGATCAGCTGAAGAAATTGAGAAACGTATAGTCCAAATCGAGGATGAAATTGAACAAAGTACATCTGATTATGAAAAGGTTAAATCTTGTTATTAATACGCAATTTTTTCATCTATTCAACGTCACTTTCTTTTCGATGTTGCTTCCATCTTTTCTAATCTTTTCTAATCAGAAATTGATTGCACTAATCATGCAATACTTCAGCGCTTTTTTTTGCTAAATTTTCTTAACTTTTTAGGAAAAATTAAATGAGCGTTTGGCAAAATTGTCGAAAGGAGTGGCAGTATTGAAAGTTGGTGGCGCTAGTGAAGTTGAAGTTAACGAGAAGAAAGATCGAGTAACAGATGCTCTTAATGCTACGAGGGCAGCAGTAGAAGAAGGGATTGTTCCTGGTGGCGGTGTTGCCCTTTTACGAGCCCTGAAAGCCCTCACTAATGTTACCCTTGATAACGCTGATCAACAAAAAGGTAATCCGTTTTTTACTTTGAAAAAAAAATGAACAGATTTTCTGAATATTTCGCGAAAATATTTGGTTTAAGGTGTCCAAATCGTAAAAAAAGCGGTACGTGAGCCAATAACAACCATTGTTCGAAATGCGGGTATTGAAGCTTCAAGCATTGTTGAAAAAGTAATCGCAAATGACGACAAAGCATTTGGTTACGATGCTTTATCTGATAAGTTTGTTAATATGATAGATGCTGGAATTGTCGACCCTACAAAAGTTATACGAACCGCTCTTCAGGTATGGTATTTTTTATCATTAGAAATCGGATTTGTTGGTGATTATTTAAAACATGGAAATATATATTTGAAATTTGTCCAGAGTATTGATCGTCATAAAATTTATAAAATTTGTCAGGATGCTGCTGGCGTGGCTTCATTGCTTGCAACAACTGAATGTGTGGTTACAGAATTGCCCAAGGAAGATCCACCAATGCCTGGTGGTGGTATGGGTGGCATGGGTGGTATGGGCGGAATGGGCGGAATGGGATATTAATTTTTTTCTTTCTCTTATTGTTGATTTATGTTTGTTACTTAAATTTTTGATGTTCTACCAGCGTTCATATTCTAGTTCATTCAAGTAATAGTTTTATACAATTTACAATTATATTTTATACAATTTACAAATTTTTAAAACAAATTATTGTAATTTTGGGTGTGCAGCTGGTTCATAAAATGCACTTCTGATCTGATATTTAAGATTTTCTTATGGAACTGGATTGATTCTCATAGGTTCTATTTTATTTCGAATATCGATGTTTGGTCATGTTTGGTCAACATCGTGCTAGTTATTTTGATTTTAATGATATTTTGATACAACTGAACCAGTTTGTTGTAATTCACACTGGACCTTTTTTTACACCAATTTTATTTCCATTTATTTATCACTGGTTTCACTCATTAAATTTTAAATTTTAACGTGAGAATTGATGCCTCTCTGATAAATAATGTCGGAAGTCGGTTATAATTTCGTTTTTTACGGTAAATGTGTGGTTATTTAAAAGAAAAAGATCAAAAAGCTGGTTAAAAGTTTTGTCGTCGATCAATTAGTCATGTTTATATGACAGGGTAGCGTGGGTCATATTTATTAATACAGTTTATAGATGTTTTTTGATCATGAATTAAGATTGACATGGTGCTGAAGGTGTAGACTAACGTGGTCATTAAACAAATTAGGATTTATAAGAATCCATTTCTAAGGTAAAGAGATTTTGGAGCTTGTCACTTCCTACACGTCCAACTGGTGTTTAAAAGATCGGATCATAATGATTTTCGCGATGTGTGGTGTTTCAGTCTGTGGTGGTGTCATTAAATGTGTAAAACGAACTGAATATGATGGTGCTATAAGTATCTTCGCAAATTGCCGATAGAGTTATAACCGAGTTTACTAAGCATACTTCGAGAAATTGTTATAGCTGCCTAAAATGTTAGAATGCTTATGATTGTAGGTGGGGAACTAACTATCAACACCATCGAATTATCGCAAGGTTCTCGTATTTCAAAATTTTATCTTTCTGGCTGCGTTTTCAAGACAATGAACATGCTTGATTTTTGTAAGAATATGCTATGGAACTTGCGAAAAAATGGGTTAATTGAGGTAATTCAATTCCTCAGCGCTTATAATCAATTTCCGAAAAGAAGGCTGATCCCAACTTTTTAACAATTTCAACGGTTTGTAGTATTGTTATCTCCTACTTGGTGATGACAAACATGAATGAGCAACAGTAAGAGTCCTCACCAATACTGGTTGAACTCTCTCCGCTGTTTTGTCGCACTAGACAAATATGCCGGAAAGCCCTTTGACTAGAGGTACAGATGGGTCGCCAGGTTGCTGCTCGATGGAGTTCCAGTATAGATAATCAGACTTATTGAAATATTTTGTTTTGTTAATTAGCGCTACTGTATGTATCTGGGGCAACTATACAAATTTTCGAAATGTAAATCGGTGAATTAACGCCGTTTCCTCTCCTTTACAGTTTTCAATAAATTAGGTTACAGGCACCAGCTCCTGACACTGAGGAGGTATACAAACCACTCCAGAGCACGACGCGGCCTAAAGAGAATGTTCCTCTATTGCACTGGCAGTTACAAGGAATTGCAGTTAGGTTTATAAGCGAAGATTGGTACTCAAAGTAAAAACATAATCAGTGTAAGGCAACACAACCAAATCCTTATTCTTTTTTATTTTATATACGCTATAATGTCGCATTTTCTGTAAATTCGTCACTGATTCAAGGAACAACTTAAAATAAATAATCAAATGTCCGTTTTTCACGGACAACTGCAGGCAAAGCTGTTTTTTAATTGTTTATTAATTAGTGGGATTATTAATACGTGGCAGGTAAATTCCCACTCGAGCTAACCACGTCACAAAAAAATGCTGGAATTTTTTCGATCTGATCGGTATCGTTTTATCGATATGATATTCAGTTTTATTGCATTCTTCTGTATTTATTTTACCAGATTTTTTTCGAAATTTGTTTATGTTTCTATTATTTGGAATAAATTCTAATTTTTTAATTTTTCATTTAATTTTTGTTCTTTTTTAAGATTAATTTGAGTTCATAAATGTTGTGTTTGTGTCTTCTCAAACAAGATTTTTCTCTTTTAGGAAGCAAATTTCACTTTAATTTTTTAAATTCCTTGAATTGTTTCACTAATGCATCGGCAAACTAATTCAAATGCATTTCTCTTTCCAGAAAAACAGGTGCCGTGCAAGTATTCGTCGGAAAAGCAGTGATAGCAGCGGTGTTCAGATAGGCGAGGTTCGGCTAACTCCAAATGTCTTCATCTTCTTCTTCGAAGGTGCGCTAATACACAAATATTGTATTTAATAAAACTATGTTTGTCAAGCATCTCTGTCATTCATGACTGCAATAAATTCATAGCGATTTCGAAATTCAAATGCCGCATATTCGATAGATATATTGTATGCCTCTCATGCATTTGGTGAGAGTTTCGCAATATATTCCAGGGTTCAATATATTTAGTATTCTGAATGCACTGCATTTCAAGCATTGTACTTCGGTCCTTAGTAGAAATAATCTATCTCGAAAATGGTACAAATCTATATTTCTATCAAACAAGCAAGTCTTTACCAAATCTCTTATTGATTTGTTTATTTTCAATTTCCATGAGAATAGAATGGCTCAGTGGGTTGTTGCTCAATTGGGAACGCCGGTGCTGAGGCTCGATTCTCCGCAGGAATAAGCCTGCATAAGAATCCGGGTGATGCTGGCGACTCACCTGTATTGCTATCGCCAAGGAACTCCCTGGTATATTTGTCCAATGCGACAAGCCAGTGCAGCGAGTTTAACCAGTAATGGTGAGGACTCCTAAAAAAAAAAATTGTTTTCAATCAAAATAGTTTAATAGTGCAAATTATATTCGCATTTTAAGTTTATCATTGAATAGTTTTAAACAGTTTTTTGAACAGTTTATCATTGTTTTTGAGAAGCTATTTAGAGCGACGATTAAATATTATTTGGTAAAATTTATTTCGTCCTTTTACAAAATTTCTGCTCTTCAGACGAATCGAAATTTTTCCAGGAAAACTTATCCACTTCGCGTTAATAATATAAAACGGAATAGTAATGAATGAAGTAAGAACAATGAAATATAAAAATTTAATGAAATAACAAAAGAAATTAATAAAATATTCATGCAAGAGAAACGAAAAAATTCTTAAATATTTGAAAGCCTTCGAAAAATAAATTGAAACTATTTTCTGCAAACTATATTCCCATTTTAAATTCAAAGTTTCTTGAAAGGTAGAAAATTTGTTATATTTCGTGGCTTTTTATATCAGATCAGTTAATCTCTTTTTTTGTTACACTTATTTTTTATTTTCAATCTTTATAAATCGTTCGTTTTTGTAAATCACTGTCGTTGCTGATTTCATTTAGCTGTCTAATGTGATATAAATGTGATTCTGGCTTCCAAGAAGACGGCGGTCTTTCAAGAGGTATTATGTTATAAATATCTTTTAAAAGATATTAATTAATAGCGCCATGAATTCAAATGAAATAAATTCGGAAGGCCCAAAGAATTCAATATAGAAGAGTACCACACAAATAAATGAAAGAAAGATGATAGCGATTTAATGACCATTTTCTAGTTAGACTCGCCACAAATACAGTCTGAAATTTTCGAGAAACAGGGATTATTTGAGGATTGAAGCACTTTGAGCGCCAGCACCGTTCAGATTTTTTATGATAAATTTACTCTTGTGGGTGCATCGCCTCTCATGGTGTTCCCCTAAAGTGCCGTTGAATTAATCTGCTAAACCAGGCACTTTTAATCTATATTTGCCCGTTCCATTCATCTATTTTTTCTGTTATTTTATTTTTTCCTCTCTTCAGAGACATTCAGATTTTTTTTATTCTCTTGGTTGATACTTTTTCTATCTTTATATTATAGGTTTCCAATGTGGGCGATATCTCTCTCCTCCCTTCCCCTTGAAACTTTTTTTTATTATTAAGCACACAAATATTTATTTTTTTATATGTATAAATATTAAGTATTGTCTTCGGCTATAGTTAGACTATTACGGTATCTCATGAGATTGATCTAAAACTGTGGTTCAAAATGGATGGGAGAAGAGCATACGGAAAAAAGAATTTGGTTCGGGGTTTTGATTCTCATTTGTTTTATTTTTTTGTTTTTGAACAACTACTTTGTAGTTGAATATTTTTATTCTGTACTCTCGCTTGGAACTTTCTTTATTTATAAGCAAACCATGTTTGAGGCAAAAAGGAAATAAATTAAATAATATTCTTAATAATGCCTTAAATATGATTTTGTTCAGTCGCCAACAAGGATATTACAAATTTACTAGATTTATCAAAAACTATTCCCAAGTGAATATAAGTTGTTTGCGTAAAAGATCATTTGAAAAAAGTTCATGCCGAATAAAAAACAAAGACAAAAATGTCATATTTTCAAACGCTCATGGGTTAATTTTTATAAGGACGTTGAATGGCCATTTTCAACTGCATCCAAAAAAGAAAATGACTCCTTACAATATTTTTTTGCTTATCGCTAAATCGGGGAAATCGACATGCACAAAACCGAAAATCGAATTAAATCTTCCTTCTGTTGATGAAGCCAAGCATATTGTTTCGAGCAAACCATCATCTGATATTATCAAGAAAACTCCTTCGAGCGAAAATGCAGTATTAATCGATGGAATGATCGCGGATGTCGAAATTTCGTCAGGTGAGTTTTAAAAACAAGTTTTTTTCCCAGTTTTCGATGCTGTAGTTTGATGAATCTACTTCAGCAAATAATGATGCTTTAATATGCGCTCGATTTATAACAGATGAAAAATTTACCAAGAAGTTTTATTCGCTAAAAGAGAATCGATATTTCTTGCAGTTCAAGATTTTTTGAGTTTTTTAGTGAAAAAGAATTTCCTTGGACGTCATGTCATTTGCTAGCGACGGTGCTGCGGCGTCACTTTCGTGGAGTCATTTCATATTTGAAAAGTCAAATGATGCCAAATATATTCGCCATGCATTATGCGATTCATCGATAGCATTTGGTTACGAAAAATCTTGAAAGTCAAAAATCGTTTGCATCGTTTTTTCATTGTACGCAGTTATCAAAGTTAGAAATAGTGCTCTCAGTGATACACAATTTGGACATCTTTGCTTAGACGAGGACGAATACTGGATTACTTCATTAAATAGTATGTTGGCTGCCCATAGCCTTTTTTTTAAGGGTCCTCACAATTACTGGTTAAACTCGCTCTGCTGGCTCGTCGCACTGGACAAATATGCCGGGAGCCTTTTGGCCATACAGATAAGTCGCCAGTATCACCCGGATTTTCGGATAGTTTTACCAGCGGGGAATAGAACCTCAGCATCGATTCTCTGACTGAGCAAAAATCTACTTATGAGCTATCCTATCCACAGAAAGTGTGGTATCTAGTTACCAATCGAAGCGAACACTATCCATTCGTCCTCAGTTATTATAAGAAGATCGACTAATTTTCACTTTTTTTGCTTGTTATGAAATCTGCACATACAGACGTACTCAATTTGATTAAAACAAAGATTATCAATTCCGCATACTTTTTTCTTCTTCTTCTAACAGATCTCACCATTGCTGGTTAGGCTGGCTCCGCTGGCTATAAGAGTAAGACATCTCCAAGTTTTCCGGTCCGATGCCATCACTATTAATTAATAGAAGCCATTCCTTTTTCCATCGTCTAAGTCCATATATCGCTGGTCCCCCCTATATGTTCAAAATCTTTCCTGACTATATCAGTCCAGGTTTTAATTGAGACCCTTCTGGCCTTTGATGCCATCATACGATTTAGCAAGAACGAAATATGCATCAACTCCTGTGGTGAATGACGGAAAACGTACCCTAACCAGCGACGCTCTGTGATAACATTATTAATGCTGGTGGTATTTGAGCAAAGGTAGATGCAGTCATGTGCGATTTTTTCTGTTCGGTGGATCCGTAAAATCTGTACCTTAGATATGAGTGTCAAAGGCTAATAGCTTCTTAATATCTTCCACTCTCCTTGGCCATGTTTCGCAGCCATATAACAAGATCGAACGAATTGCAGCTATATGGACGCGGATTTTCATCTTTATGGTGATTTCGCGACGATTCCATAAAGGTTTCATTAACCGGAAAAACAATTCTAGCTGCCATTATCCGGATTACGATTTCATCCTTTACCTGGCCATTTGGGATTAGGGTGAATCCAAGATATTTAAAGTCCAGCACTTCCTCAACCGGCAAAGAATTGAAAAAAAGAGTCATTTTATTAGCTTCTTGCACATAAGACGAAAAGAGTTTCGTTTTATTTACATTGATCCGATTCTTGCTGCAGTTTCTGACAAATTGTTTAACATTATTTGCATTTCCTCATAACTGTCAGCAAAGAAAACTATATCATCAGCGTATTCTAGGTCTGTGATGCTATGTTTTGGACTTATTTGCACACCTCTTGAGTGCCGGAAAGTGATGCCCGTTGTCCAGTCTATCTCATAATTGAATATTGTGGGGCAAAGGACGCAGCCCTGATGGACACCAGTTTTTATTTCAAAGGAGTCTGTCAGTTCCTCATATACATAGACCTATGTTTTCTAAAATACCTTTTTGAGTCGAATGATCTTCTCCGGGACACCTTCACATTCCATCACTTTCCAGAGCGCTTCCCTATCAATCGAATCGAAAGCAGCTGCAAAATCGATAAAGCAAGTGATTATGGGTTGGTGGTGTTTGAAGCGATGTCCCAGCACCCTTTTTAGTAAATATTTGATCAGCACAAAGCGTCCCGGTCTGAATCCAGCTTAGTTAGGGTTCTGCCATCTCTTATTGTCTATTTAGCAGAAACGAAATATATTTGTTGAAGGTAAATTGTGAACGATGATGGACAACATTTGAAGATTCCGGCACAAAGACCATCTTCTCCCGAAGTTTCATTAACCTTAAGCTTATGGATTATATAGAATGTTTCCTCTTCTGTTGGGCTCACAATTGCAAACGTAAGGCTCGACAGGCAAATCAGTTATATTCGGGACAATAGATGGTGCATATGAATCGTGGTTAAGTTTGGCCTCAAAAAATTCTTTCCATCTTCTGAGGCGATCCTTGACAGCTTTAATAGGCACCCCATTAATATCCCGTATCATTTCACTGATCTCTTCTTGAGCTATAGTTGTCTTGCGAAGAAGGCGAAACAGGAAACAGTTTCCTATTATCACCTATTCGAGCCGATTCCATTCTCAAGGCCATATCGCTCCTCCAATAGGGATTTCTGTCCAGCCGTGCTGCTGTCGTTGTAATTTTTCGAAGCGCCCGATAGGATCTCCTGATATTCGGCTTTGGCAGCTTTTTCAGATACTCTAATGTGGAAGTGGCTGACTTTTGTAGGCGTGTCTTTAGTTGGGACCAGTATTTATTCGCCGTTCTAGAGATGTCATTGACATTCATTTCATTGAGGTGTTTCAATAATGCGGTTTGAAATGCGCTTATCGTTCCCGGATCTTTTAATATTTTAACTTGAAATAATTGAAAGATCTTGGGGTCTTGTTTCTTACGACTTGTCAGTTACGAATCTAATTTTATACGAATCTTGGCTCGAACCATAAAATGATCTGATCCATGGCGATTACCAGTGTCAGCGCTCCGATAAGAACGACTATCAAGTACAGAATACTTCCAGCGGTGACTGACCAATATATAGTTAATTTGATTGAAATATTGGTTGTTTGGAGAGTTCCACGTGATTAGATGTTTCCTCCGATGCCGAAAATGTATTAGTAACAAAGAGTTCATGCTGTTCAGCAAAACGAAGAAGGTGTTCTCCATTTGCGCATTGGGCCCCTATGCCATATTTGTCAATCACCGAGTTCATTGAAACGGTATCATGACCTATGCGCGCATTCCAGTCTTCCCGGAGTAGCATATATCACCTCTCAGTAGGAATGTTGTTAACAATTGAACTTATCGCGGTGATCGTGCATAAAGTTGGAGTATATACACTGATGACTGAAATATTGCAGAACTTTCCTTTGAAACGCGAGTAAGCCATACGTTTACTGGTTTCCATTCAATCAGAGCGGATCAAGCCTTTTCAGACATGACAATCGCTACGCCATTTCGTCCCGAGTTATCCGAGACATCACTATGATATAGCCAATATCTTTGTTCGGAACCAGGCTTAATAATTACTCGGGAGCCGACATGAGGAAGACGGACTTCCGACAAACAAGCCACATCCACGCGGAATTTAGAGAAGTTGTGTATAGTGATCGCTTGGCTTGCATCCATAAGCATTCTGACGTTCCAAGCAGCTATAGCCAACATGTCACCGCGCTTATAAAGTGTTAACGGATAGGTTCTCGCCTACTTTGACGGATTTGAGTATTTATTTCGGTTCGCGAGCAAATTCTATGCTTGCGCCTTGATCTTTTATTATTATTATTATTATTACTATAACGCCCGGATTGTATATTCATCGCATGTACCACCGAGTCAGAAGTGAATGCGCGTCGTGAGACGTCGCATCAAGGAAACCCGACATAAAGCCACTTGGAGATAGAGACACAGGTGGATTCCCCAGCAGACTGAATTTTTGACATCATAACATGTTTACTCCTGTCAAAGACAGATGATGAGATAATTAAATTAAATTTAAAGATAAGTTTAGAGATAATTTAATAAGAGGAAAAAAATTTAAAAAAAAAGCTTATCCGATTCATAGATTTCTAGATGATAAATAATAATTAATAAGTTATAAGATGATAATATCGCAATAGAAGAAATATCAAAAAATATCTTTTTTTTCAATTTATTGATTGATGAGCAAAGCGCCTTTTCGACGCAACCGCTCATAAGGTCAATAATTTATTCAATGTACTTTTTTATAAGCCCAACTTGAATATAAGTCGTAAAAAATTTGCCAGGTTTTCGAAACTTGCTTCAACAGGAAAAAATGAACAAAAATCTGAATTATCACCACATTCCAGAATGATTTTAATAACTGTTTTCAAATCGAAATTTGAATATGTTTTTAGATGCATTTTCAAATACTGAAGAACTAAAGTAATATTACAAGAAGAATTAATCGAATTTATGAACAAGAAAGCAAAATTCGCAAAAAATCAGGATTTCTATTTGCAAAAGTGAATGCCATCAATTTATCTCGAACTGTGGGCCGGACAAAAGAATTTTTATTTTTTCCTTCATTATATGCGGAAAAACGTGGCTTACAAATTTATTGATGAAATTTATCGAAGAGCAGACTTCAAGTAGCTGAGGGCGATGGTTTAAGATACTGATAAATATTGAACCAAGTATGGAAATATTGTTAGCTTCACATCGGACTCGCTTTTCTCATCAAATTTCATTTTCATTTGAATTTTTGGGTGATTATTTTCTGATTTTTTAATTAATTTCAATTTATATACATATATACTTTATTTTTTATGCTTTATATTTATGGTTTATGCGATGCGTTTAATAAATATTTTATTTCTTTCAATAAACAGCAACTTTAAAAAATCGCTTTCTATTTCAATATAAATTTTTAAGATTTCAAAAACACAAATAGTATTCGATCTGCATTTTTTACATTAGAATAACTTTAGAATAAATAACTTTATTAAAGATGAGAATGAGGGCAGTGAAGAAAACAATCCCAGAAAAAAGAACGATTGGCCAAAAAAGGTTGGGGAGCAATGCCTTCGATTGACGACGATTATTC